GCATTCTTTAGGGCGATGCCTGTAACACTCTGCCTTCATATTAAATAATTTTTGTGAATAATTTTTACAAATATTTCTTCATGTCATTATGCGGGCCGCAAGTAGAGGTGACATGGGCAGCGAGATTGAGACGCAGGCATTAGAGCCTCTTAATGCGTGTTTTGTTTCGGTTTCCACCGGCGTGGAATCACCAAAAATATAGAGGGCATAGCCTAACATATGAGACAGGAAAAGACCGCAGTGTAATCCATTTATTTCAACAAAGTAACTGTATTCTAAATACCACCTTTTTAAACGGTAACTGTAACAGAATACAGTTACTCATATTTTGTATTTTAAATACGTAACGGCGGTTACTCCCTAACACTGGATGTCAGTGACCCAAAACCGCTGAGACAACAAAGGAGTGGCTAAAGAAGAAGCACATTAAGGTGGGCTAGACAGTCTCCAGCCCTCCTGAGATGTGTGCAAACCTAATGACCAACTACAAGGAACATCTCACTGCTTTACTTGGCAATGAGGATTTTTCCACCAAGTACTGCGTCCTGTTTTCCATTGGGATCAAATACTTATTTCTCTCCATGCCATGCAAATCAATGTATAACTTTTAATGTATTTTTAATGTAGTATATTGTTTCTGGATTTTTTTGTTAATATTCTGTCTCTTTCTAGTAAAATACTACCATAAAACTAGAGAGTCTTCATTTCATTGTGAGAGAGCAAACTAACAAATTCAGCAGGGAATCAAATAATTATTTTCCCATCTGTAAATAATTTCTAATTAATTTCTGGTCTGTGTGACCTCATTATCTTATTAGAAACTCAAACCTACCACTCAAAAACTAGTGGTCTGTTTTTCCTGATGTTCAGGTTTTGTTTCAGACTTGCCTTACAGCTGAATACATTTGCACTGAGAAATGACTGCTTCCAATACTAATACTTCCTACTTTCTTTACGGTGTCACAGAGTGTCTGTATTAGCTACCAAGACTGTCAGTGCACATCTGTTGGAAGAACATCTGAACAGGAGACACTCAGCATGAACAAAACAAACTGTCAAGTCATGAACCAAAGTTGACTGCTGCTTTGATATACTTTTACAGCGTGTCGCTCGCTCACTGCACTGTGTGGACAGAGTTATAATGGAGCACAGTGGGGTGTTTTTGACAGCGCAGCCAGAACTATTAATCAAAATGCCTGAATTAGCCGTGATTGCGATCCTATGAATCAGTTTGGAACATCCTTACTTTCCTTTAATGTCAGGGTGCAGATAAGTGTATATCATTACAGGGTGTCTTTGTTAAATCTGCTGACTCACTGAGATTCATTGAGAGTGCACCTGCACATACAAATACAGTATCATTATCCCAGCGATTGGCCTTATCTGCAGTATGGATGTATTTTAATAACTGAAGAGAAAATAAGTAACAAGGGTATTAAAACTTAACTCATTAATCACAAGTTCACATAATGAGTAGTAGCCAGCAGGTTAATGAAATGTTGGTAAGCTTCAACCCCACGTCCCTATTCAGGGTCTACCTGTAGTCTTCTCTAAGCATTCCCATAAAGCAACTGCCATGGCTTAAAGATA